AACACGGTTAAATCTATTATACAAACACAGTCCCAAAATTAAAAGCAACTTCGATTAATTAATTAATTAAGTAATTAATTAGTGTAGGTATCTCTAACAAAAATATGATTCGTTTACTTAATCATCTACAGTAAATCAAGTGCCTGTCTCCAGAGAAAAATAAAAATAAAAATAAAAATCAAGTTTAGTATTCTTATTTTAAGTTGTCCTTTGAAATTTCTTTTTCGGTAGAAATGATCTATTATTGAAAAGTAAAGAACTTATTTGGATTACAAGTAATTGACGAGAACTAGTTTTGAAATTTAATGTGTATTTTTGTATTAGCCCATGAATATGATAGTAGTGAAAATGTTAAATAATATATATATTATGTCTTATTGTTTTTTACATTGATAAGTCAATCCACGAATTGTGATGCTAATGTGGTGAACAATTYTATAATATTTATTAACCAGGGATTTTTTAAAAATTAATAAGTTAAGGTATTAGAATAAAATTAAACTTTCRAGAATATAGAAACAAAAATTAAAACTATATAAAAAGTACAAGATAAAAATAGATATAAATTAAAAATATATACAAAGGAACAATTTTACCACAACTTTCACTGTTTTAATTTTCAAGGCATGCTTTGGAGGTCTGTTTCTACAATGTTTATGCCATGATATAAATAAATAAATAAATAAATAAAGTTATATATATATATATATATATATTTATTTATTGGCTTTGTTTTAATACTTTTTGTCAAGTTCCATCAAATGTTTGTAAGGGAAAATTTCACTTTCTACTTTTCTACTTAGTTTTGGAGGGGATTTAAATTATTTCATCAAATTCGACCTTAAATAACTTAAATTATTGTAATTTTACTGAACTCCGAAATGAAAAAGAGTTATTTTAAACGCAGAAGTGAAAAGTACTGTGAGAATTAATTTTGATATTATAAATATAAAGTAAAAAAAGAAAATTATTTTATTGAGCACATGCATATTTAAATTCTGAGAGAAAAGGGCATTTGAGAGCTTGTGGTTTCTGCAATATCTGCCTCCCAATATTCGATTTTCAAGCCAATTTGGTACTCTGAAATAAATTAATTAAAAGAATAAAATATTTGAAAGAATTGAAAAAGGCTTTTTCATTTCCCTGTGTGCCTTTCSTTTGGACATCCAATTCCAAACCAAAACAAACTACAGATTTTACCAAAAACTTGTCTGATTCTTTTTCTAGGATTCCCATTTTCCTCTGCTGACGCTCTCAAATGTCCATAAACACACATTTCAAAAGTTCTTACGTTTTTTTTCCCCACACAATAAAAACTCCCAATTCAATGAAAAAAAAAAGGTAAAGTTTGATGCTCATGGTTTTCTGAGTTTCAAGCATGAGTAAGCTTACATCAATATTACTTTATCGAAAAAGAAACAATTACGGTTAAGGTTAGATTTGAAGCTTTTTTCACAGAAAAAAAACGAGAGTAATAAATAGTTAGCCTTGTTGGATTAATGCACATGATTTTTCGAGGGAAAAAAATGATAATGGTATGCTTGCCAGATTGAGTTAATCAAAGAAAATTGAGAGATTTCATTTGGACAATTGTCACTTAGTATAGTTCTTATTCACCCATAAAGTTGGAAAGGACGGCATCCCTCAAGAAACACGCTTGATAAATAACAGAGTAATCGATCGGAGAAAAAACGGCCTCGATTTGAACTTTTTCCCTTATTGGGTAAGAACATTCCAAAATCTTCTTCGATCACACAAACGAATCTCCTCTTAACAACCGTGCTAACATACCTTTCTTAGAGCGTAGAGCATCGGAAATTGGATACGGATTTTTCGATAATTACTTTTGCATCATAATAGATGATCTATTTTGGTTCTATCTATTTATAATCCTTCTATCAACCAATGAGAATCAAATCCTTAACTATTGCCTAGTCGTTTTAAATATCGKCTCTAACTTTCCTAATAAAGTATCTCTATGATTCTCAAACTTTTATTTTGTTTCCTTTAATTTATTTACAATCCSATTTTTTTATAAATATTCGTGAAAAATTATTTACCAATGAAAAGTAAATAAATAATTTTATGAGTAGGAGCAGATATTTCTCATTGGTCTTCCTCTGTGCTGGCTGTCATTTCCATGATTCATCTTCAAACGCACAAAAAAAAAATAATAATAAAATAAAGAAAAAAAAAGTTGAAAGTAAAAAAAAAAAAGAAAAGAAAAAAAAGGGTCCACTGAACGGAAATCACACGGACTCACGAGAAGTAATTAAGTCATTAGTAGGTGATGTGCATGGATGACAAGTGGGTAAAATTATCACTCTAATTCATTGGTCAGCCTTCGTTTAATTTAATTTTACTCTGACCAAATCCAAAAAAAAAATATATATATATATATAGGGTTGAAATTTCATCTTATTGATTCATTCCATTCAATTTTAAAAATGGTTTTATTTTGATATCTAATTTTTCAAAATATCTATTTAGTATATATGCTTTCAGATTTATTGAATTTTAAAAATTTCGAAAGTCCTATTTTAAAAGTTACATTAATTTGTAGTGGATTGTTTGACAATAAAGTAGATATTTAGTATAATAAATTTGGAAATTCATTAACCAACACAATAATAAAAAAAAGAAAATGTTTAGTTCATGTAATTTTAGTTTTTGTCTATTTTAGTTATTRTATTTTCAAATTTCTGTCCATTTTTTAAATATCTATTTAGATCGTGCTACTTATCAATATAGATTMTTTCGRTCTCCCTATCTTCTTTTTCTCTTTTTTATCATTTGTTTATTAATATTTCAACTTATACTTAACAAATTTCTTGAAATACCTAAAGAGGTTGGCTTGTGAATGGAAATTCAAAATTATTGTGAGATGAATACCTAGATTCTCTTATTTATTCAAGAATTGTAATATATTATGCCCGCACGAGGGGCATCCAAGAAGACCTTTTGATACCGTGCATTGAYTTATTGATAAATGACTAAGTACAATTAACTATATTTATATGTACTAAACAAAAAAACTATATTTATATACTAGAATTAGATATAAAATAAACTTATTAWATCAACCGTATAACATCTTAATCGAAGCATAGTGTGCAATATCTCACCTACTTTAACATTTTTCAATGGTCATTCAACATAAAACTAAATCGAAATAAAAACACAATATCAAATCAATAAAAACAAATTTGGTAATAAATTCAAATTACATCTAAAAACAACCAATATCAACGTACAAATTACACAGACAACAAGCATAAGAACTACAAATCCAACCAAACAAATTTAACCATCCACATATTCACACCAAACAAACATAACAATTTAAAGATATCATCTATCATTTCAAATATCTAACATCTCAAACCATATAACGATACCAAGTAACCTCATATGTGTATTAAAGAATTTTCATCGAGCATAAAATTTAACATTGTAATTTTACAAAAAGGGATAAAAATAACCCTTTTGTAAAAGTGATTGATAAGAAAAAACAAAACGGGAAAGTACAAACCACAAAGATCAAACTAAATGTCTGAAACTTGTATTGATATCTAAAAATTAATAAATAAAATTGAGTTATGTATGAAATATATGAATAATGAAGGAAAAATGGTAGCTAGWAAAGAAAAAAGAAAAAAGAGAGAAAAGAAAGAAATTGTAGATTTTCCGGTAGCCCGGATGTTTCGCGACCTTGTTTCAGACAAATTTTCTTCGGCGCAGTGCCAAAAGTCGCTGCCTCCTCCCTCCTCCCTAGTTTTTCCTTCATTATTTTTTTTTTCCCTCCAAAATTCCCATTTAACCCCTCTCTCTCTCTCTAAAAACTTTATTTAATGATTCATCTTTTTTTTATAACCCGG